GGACGAGATTGCCATGACGGAAATAACATGGAAGGGGCATTCGGACGAGATTCCAGTTATTGCAATTGCACAAAAAGCTGACTACATCAGGCCAGAACTGTACAGAACTGTGCTTCACTGTCGCTATGGGTCATGTCAAGTTGTTTGAACCTATTACATGGGTTCCCTTGTGGTCGGTGCAGCCTCTACAATGCCGGTGAAACTCGTCGGAGGATACACACAGGCCAATCTTTCGACCTTTATTACTCCCTAACTACGCCGTTTTCCGGCCTAATAGTGCCAGATATGGTATACGCGAGGACCTAAAACTCATCTTGTGGGGTAAGCTCAGAAACCATTTTTATCGTGAACTGTGCCTTTAAGTACACTATGCTTGGCACTGTTCTTATTAATGCGCCCTCAACTATGGGAAATGAAACCTAGAGTAAAGCATAATCGAGTGAGTTATTAGCATAACTGTTTGAAGAGAAAACGAGCTCACCAACATTTCGGGCCTTGAAGTTCAGCAGTTCAATCAACTCAACTTGATCGTTTTATAAGGACATTGAAAGGGTGCTTCTATCAGCGCCTAAGAGTTTTATCAGACGACATGTCATAGCATCATAGCAAAAAACGCTTTCATACTAGGAATTCGAAACCACACTTTAGCTCTGTGGCCACTATAACGAAGGGATGAATGCCGTTGCAACGCCATAGAGGATCAACCTAGCTCGTTTTTTTCAAATGCTTTTTCTACTTTGAACGACGGGGTTGACATGAGAAATGTTACACTTTTTTACAGTTTTTGTAGTAAAAATTCCGAAATTCCATCGTCAAAAGTTGTTGATCACATCTGAAAGACTGGGCAAAAATCGCTAAATTTAGTTCCTGTCTAATTCTCCAGATGACTACACTGGTACGAAAAGTTTTACGACTCGAAAGGGACAAAAACTCGCTTATTTTCTTCTTCCAATTGTTTGTTTCAATTGATTATTTTGTTTTTGTGGAAGAACTCGAAAGGACTGTCACACAAGAAAAGACTGCGCACAGGAGAGCACATCTCCCTTGCCCTTTCTTAAGTCTTCTTCAAAACTCATTCAACTATTTAAAAGATGGCTAACTTATGGTAGAGGATAATCAATTTTTAAGAATGATTAGCTGCACAATATGCCCCAAGTGATCACCGCACGTTGCCTCTATTCCTGAGCTCGGTTGTCATGTGCCTGACAGGATGTTATCTTCGAACAACCGACTATTTTCTGTGAGCGATTTGTGTTGAGCAAATGTTTCAGAGTGGCATGTTTGGCATTTCTTCATCTTCTGCTTGCACTATCTCTCCATAGCAAGCGGACACAACCAGGTCTTGCAGGGATTGTTTAACATCAGGGAGATAAAATTTCGGGTCTACACTAGTGAGTCACATGAACTAGCAATTCGCTCGTACCTTACTAATTGTTTATTTCAATGACCCTCTTTCGGTTTAGGTCAGATTCCACATTGTTCAGCATCGTTGAAAAAGGTGTTGGTTTTGCATTCTGCATGTTCCGCCCGCTGGCCCATTGCACCGGTCTACCACGCTGTTTCTAAGAGTGTTACTGCTTCCGCAGTACACTAAGGACTACGTGAGCAATACGGGACTGCCTCTGCGATCTGAATGTGCCCCACTGCCTGGCCCGTTCACGCATTGAACCATATCAAAAGGTATGAAATAAGTACAACATCAGTGAACACATCAGTGAACCTAAGTGGATACAAAGGTTTATGAAAATGTTACAAGCAAGTGATAGGGAATTTCATGATTACCTACTTGCTACAAATGACATGAGACTAAAAACAAGCACAACAAACCATGGCAAATAAATTTACAAATAAATTTGACAAACCACAATGAAACCTACGGATGAGTACGTCCCGGCTTAAAATTACATATTACCATTCGAGACTGCCAGCCTCGTGGTGTACTGCACCATATTGGTTCATCCATGTTGGCTACACGTCAATCTTATAAATGTTCGTTGTGCCGATAAAGCCGATTGCGATGTTCTCAGCGCAAGATAGTAGATGGAAATGGTGGAGGTGCTGCCATGCCAATGACCTGCTGCAGGAGTTGGAGTCGAAGGTGTGATCCGCACAACCAAGGATGACGGCTGACATGGCAACTGCGACAATGATGGTAACAATAATGCAATAGCCTCCCAGAGTCCGTATATAGGCGCAGCCACGTGGGGTCCTCTCGTTGCTTTCCTGTAACGCGCCATGGTGTGCGCGATGGTGCCTTCCCAACGGCATCGCTCTCTCAAAGTCGAACCTCTGAGACGTGCCCCTATCACGAACCGCAAATTTATGTGACTCACTTTGCATTGTAGAGCATCTAACTTGCTTGAGGTGTAATATAGTAAGGGTTCCAATTATTACAGTGCACACAGTAGTGATAGTACTTACCTCTATAGATCAACTTGGAAATATCTATTTTTGTTCGAGTGCAGCACCATTCGTTATTGCAGAGTTTATTCTTCATTTGCTACTTTCGTCCCGCTGCTACGAAATCAATATAAAGCATTGATGCGTGCCCAATTATGCGAAGGGGAGTTTGAAATCAAGCGTATAATAAAAATGCGTTATTTTCTTATAAATATTGTCTTGCCTGATCTTACTGGAACAATTCGATCATTTCGAAAAATTTTGAGAAAATTTATATGTGTTACAGAGTTGTTCGTTGCAAAACAAAATATCAAAAGTTACCACAGTTTATTCGGAACAATCGATCACGACATTGTTAGAACAGTCCCGTGACGACTTCTGATTCTATGCCACAATGGTTTACCCCACGTACGATACGGAAATATCCTGGAAAGAGTATTTTCTGTGAAAAAAAATTTCAATCATGCAACTCGTTCGATTTGTACTATAATGATGAGAAGTGTCTGGATTGAGGCAAGATTAGTTGAAAAGCATTCTTGAACAATGGTCTGTTGAGTCGTCCATGCATCTGTGGTTAGGTAGCCTTCCCCAATCTAAATTTTGCGACGCAGTCGCCATTCCAGTATAGTTAAGGCCTAGCGCTTTGGTAGCAATGTGGCGACAAAGGGAAGCGCTGAACTACCTCCTCTGTTTAGCTAGCGTTTCTATTTCGACCTTTACTCGTGACTTAGTTTCTCAGCTAACTTTGCAGTAGTTCTCAATAAAGACATGATGGAACAATTCAGTATTTCTGTCTTTCCTTTTGAAAATAACTTAAAGGCAGCAACCATATTTCAGACATGGGAGTATCTACTGCCTTCCTCTTTTTCAAACGAGACCACACCGAATAATTATTACGGAGAAATAGACGGCGATGTCACATACCGTCTTCTCCCCAGTCAGTGTTCCACGAGTTCGCAACCGTCCAGTATTTCGTCCCATTTTCGATTCCCCATCCAAGGATTTTCACCGAATGTGCACCCTGCTTTTTGCCAGCCGTGTGCTGAAAATCGTGCTGTTCTTTGTCTAATAGTAAATCTCTTGACTGTGGGCAAAAATGATCTGACAGCTTGTAGCATCATGATTAACACTGCTACCATAAAACTACTTATCTCGTTTCGTTCCTTTAGTGAGACCTCAACCATCCAAGTTAGGGGAGCTGCTATGTGGGTATTCACTTACAACGTAAATCCCTCTTTTGTAGTAAGCGAAGTCTTCATAGACTGTAAACGACGCTTGAACTGGTCCCAATTCCATGATATCAGCCCGGATGACAAGTTCATCATCCAGCACCCAGTATGCTAATCTTGCTGGAACCAAAACATTTAGATTTGAAGAAAATTTTTGCAAAGTTCACTCTAATTTGGATGCTGTGAGAACTCATTTTGAAGGCGAAAAAGTGAAAATTGTTTTCAATTGAGATCTTCAACAATATTTAGCTCCGAAAAAGGGTCCACAGCTCTTGAGACCAGCGATTTGATTCATACCCCTTATCTTGTCGGCTTCATAGCGTTTTCCGTACCCATACTGGCAGTACTTTCGGCATACTGGTGTCTTATACACATGCTTTGGACATTCGCCATAATATTTCTGGCCTTGATGAAATCCGCATGGATGGAAAACGTACGGCATACAGACTCCCTAAACGTGAGTTACTTAGGTTCCAGCCTTTCTTCCTTAACCGCATTCCACGAAAATACTTATTCAGCAGTGTCCTTCGGGACACTTTCAAGTACTTCAGCACAGACACAGTCCTGATACTTACCTCCTCCTGGTATCTTCCACCAGTGCACACACCTACAATTTGAGCGTGGGCCCATGCTCGAGTGCCATAACCACCTTGACACCTGAAACAAAGCCAATTTCCCAACCCGCGATGATGGTAGTATTTTTACATGCAAGGAGCGACGATACTAATGGGAGCAGAGCCAAGCTCAGGTAGAGGATCATCGCCAGGAAGTAGCGTAAGTACCCTTAAATCTCATCCCAGCCAGTAATCTTGAGATATGCTCACCCAATTCCACAGAATCTTCCACAGCATGCGAGAAAATCGGTGTCCGATATCAATGTCTGAAATTGTTTTACTTGTGAGAATCAATTCAATCTGCTAGTCATATCAAATGTTGTCTTGATTTTCATTAAGAGCTGGCTAGTTCTACAGATCATTAACTCCTACGCCAGAGGTTTACCTATATCTTCATACAAAATGGTAAATAAGGGGTTGGCTGCCAGAAACCACACCATTACCGATCACAGATAGCATCAGATTTAGCTTTTCACTGAGCACGAACGAATGCCTTTTCTGGCAGATCCAAACTCAAGCTAACAGAAAATCCCCGAAATTTCATTCACTTTGCTAGCCGACTTTATTAAAGACGTTGAGTGGAGGAAATGCTTGTTTTCACTGCTTCTAAAGGATAAAAGGATGAAGTTTTTAGCGTTAATCAATCAAGTCTGAGGGATGCGCCGCCGCACTCCACTTCCACTCAGAATCGTAGTGGCTGTTTGAGTGCGCATGCGGCCTATACAATGACTTGTGGTGGCCAGCCGATGTAGAAGTCACTGCTTTTCAGCCTCCCAGACGAGTCTGGTACCGATTAACCGACCCCGGAATGAAAGAAGGCTTGGTTGGCCTAGGCAGGCATCGGTCCGGGATTCGAACCTCTGAACGTGTGGGTGATCTAGTGCACCACTTGCCACTACACCACCTCCACCCTTTACTGCTTCTACCCCTGGTAAATAGAGAAATCAAGTCAAGAGCATGTATTGTTGCAACTATTTGAAGGCCACGATTATCATTTTTGGAAACCCTCAGGCGCATTAGTGGTCAACGCATTGATCGGATTTTCCACCAAAGTCTTGTAACAAACAGACTGAGCTCAGTATTTCTTGAACGAGGAGAGTCCGCATTTATACTAATGGAAACAGCGTTCTTTCTTCGAGTCCGGAGTGACAATCAAGTAGATGACAGGTGATAGAGGTAACTTTTCAAATGCGAACCTGAACACTTAGAGAGGGAGCATCCAGCATCGAGCAACAGTGCCCGACTACGTGTTTTCTTCCCCGGTAATGCAACTCACGCCTGGTAGACCACTATTGCCCCTGAGGGTTCCCAAAATAGATCGACGTGAGGCAGGGATACAGTCCGGAATTGAGCTGATCGTTCACCATTGTAGATTATCACAGAAACAGACCACTAGCTATTAGCAATGCGTGAGTTTTATTGAATGAACCAATGACAGAATCTGATGTAAATCTCTGAAGTGACGTTACTTACTTTATTTTTACCTCCTGACTGAACGCAAATACGATCGGACATGGTTGCCGCAGCAGCGACAGCCCAGCATGAGCCTGTAAGAATTTTTATAAAGTAGTGGTTAAGAACGCGGGTCAGTCTTTTATATGTCAGCCCTGTTTACCTTTTATATGAACTTCACTAGTGACTTCAACGCGCAGTTATGATGATTGGTAGTAATAATGTGAGCTGATGCGAACATCTACAATCGCTCATGTTTGCATTACATTGATCAACTCGATCTGAACCTATCCCTCCGGCTGATAAAGCCCGTAAAGTGAAGTGCGTCACACTTTAAGAGCTGTGCTAAGACGCTTACAGGCTCATCGGCTAATACGTCTAATAGTGAGGTGAGTAATAAGTATAACGGATATTGGGAAGCTAAGGTTCTCACAGACATCGAGTTGGCTAGANTTGCTCAAATTACGTAAGACCATCGCTCTTTCAGGCTGGTAATTTCGAGTGCGAACAAGCCCCAACTAATGGTAAGTCAACAGTAGTGCCTGAATCTATGTATATTGATCCCCTACTATATACAAAGAAATTCCATTGAGTCGTATAGTATATGTCCTACCACGTTGAGCCCCTTGATGAGGTTGATCAACACTCATCAATGAGCTTCTTTTCTAGGGTAGAGAAATATAATGTTTGAACGTACCGCAGTTCGACTGATCACGAATATACCTTACCGAAGGGCAGTCTTTCCAATACTCCCGACCGTCGAAACTGAATAAAAAACTATAAGTTTTCAATAAAATCCGGGAAGCATCTACTCATTTATGGCAACACTCATTTAGACTCCGAAGGATCTATTATTAAAGTACTTTATTCAATCTTCAGTGTCTCTGTTTTGGCTCCGAGTAGAAGAGCAAGTCGTCTTGTACTACAAGAAATAATCGTCAAATCGTACCATTCACCTTTCAGGAGGGTCATCGTCATTTAAGACAGGCTGCTTTGTTGTCAGTACTTGTTTCATTTTCGTATCTTTTCCGGCGAATTCGGCCTTCATCAAACTTCCCATACGTAGTGCTGCCACTGTTGACGAATATTCGGCCTGAAATATCTCTGAAATAGCATCTCCATTGCATATATTCCAATATTTTCCATAAATAAGGAGGAAACACTACGGGACCTTGAAAAACGGTTGACGCTTGTTTACATACTCCACCAACGCTTCACCAGACAGCTCCTGAGCTTCCTTTGGAATAGGTTGAGCAACAAATCGTTCTGAAAAAGTAGCCAATAGGTAGGATTCTTTTGAATCCAAACTGAAACCATGTATTGCGTACTCATTGAAGTTGCAATCCAAAATATTTCTATCTGTCATTAGATATCTGCAATCGGTCAGTGTAGAGAAGGGAAAAAGGGAAGTTCTACAAAATAGAGAAATATTCTTTTTATAAAGGATTAATCGAGTTGAAAAATATTTTTAGGTTCTCCATCGAATTCTCAGGGTCTGCCAGTCTATCAAACCCTTTTCTCGATATAATGAAGAACCGCGTACACAAATTTTGAGTTAATGTGCTCATGAAGCTGTTTTTTTCAGAATTTCGTCAGGGACACCAACAGAGTTTTTTTACAAAATTTTGTTCGATTTTGCCAGCAGAATTTCTGACTTCTAGTAGTTCTGCCAACAGTTCTGGAAGCACAACGAGTGAGGAGCAGGTTCAGCCCAGCTGGTTCTCAAACTTTCCCATACACTGGGCCTAAATCTCGGCTATCTCTCATTTCAGGGCAAAAGTTGTGTAGTGTATTGCCTTGGTATTGAAGTCCCAACTTATACTCCCTCGCACTAACCATTTCTTCCAATGGTCTGGAATTTGTAGATTGGTACCGGACCGGTCTGGGTTATGAATGCACTGGCTTCTACACTAGATGGCCACCGAAAGCCATTGTATAAACCACGTAAGCATTCAAAACAACGTTACGATTTTGAATGGAATTCGAATGCAGGGGAGATCTCATATCAAAAACGAAATTGATTAGTGCCAAAAACTTCATTTTCTCCACTTATCCTGCAGTTCAGTGATGGGCATTAGTGTAGACTTTTCTTTAGAGTGCAGCAGACATCAACAGTTTTGGAAGAAGCGCAGTCGTCTCAAATTCTCATGCACCAAGGCTACACTTTTGTAAAAAGTGTTTCTCTATTATTAGCCCTACTTCTGTGTGTGACAGTCACGTATGTAGCTCTAGAAGCTTCATTGACAATAGGGAAGTTGCATCTTTTGATATTATGGACAGTATATCTCAACGCAGAAAAAAAGAACCAGTGAGTTGCTTTGCCGTCACGCGATATGTACATACATGGCCAGATTCAGGGACTCTAGAGATAGACGTGACAACGCACTTGCTGATAGTGTTGTGACAATGATTGAAGGAATCTTCCAAAAATCAGGTCTCCTCCTATTCTAGGTATACAAGCTACAACAATTCCCATCAATGCTTCCTCAAATCAGGTGACAAAAGAAACCTTCAGTATAGTCAAAATTTTAATATCATTGACTTTGGGTCTATAAATTTCTGTAGACGATGCGGTAGTTCTACCGTTCTCCGTGCCCTTCAAAAAGCGTCCATCAGGTGAATGTTTACATTACCTTGCCTGAGAACCTTTCTTCAGCTCCCCATTGGAGTTTCCAAGTTGTTCGCACAGCACATTGGTCTTAGGAAGCTAAAGATCCTCAAGATCGAAAAACGTCCTTTCCGACATGAAGCTTTGTTGCTAGGACTTTACCAACTATTCTACTCCTATTCTCTGGAGTTTCCCATACTAACTTTAAGTGGTTCCCCAGAACAAGACAACATTTGTTCGAATGAGGAGAGTGCTTTTAGGGCATTGTGGTGAGCTGGTATAGGATTCGCGTCACTATAGGACTGTAACTGCGGCGCCATTGGAAGTGGCAATATAATCAGAAAGACGAAGACATCGCCAGCTTTCCGATTGATCTAAACATTATGAGAAACCAATAAATACTAGTTAGTAATGGAATTCAAGGAGCGCTGTTTTTGAGAATTCAATCGCAATCAGGAATCCAAGTTTACAATAAAACGAAACTATTTATATAGTATATAGTTTGCAAAATAAAGTACAAACGAGAACCGAATTCTGGTAGTTGTTTAGACTTTTGTCAGGAACGTGCACCTAATGGGAAGAAAAATGAAGGTAGAATAGGATAAGAGGTAAGGGAGAAACAGACCATGTTGAAGTTTTGGCTTTGAAACAAGAGCTCAAAAAAGCTTTTGACCTCCTGTCACTCATCATCGTTTAATGCTCACTCCGGTTCCCCCTGAGAATTAGGATCATTTTTCTCTGAGAAAAATGAATAAACTCAAAAATAAATGAATTGCCATTCAATAGTATGTATGATTTGATTGGTTTCAAGATCTCCTACCAATTGTAGAAGCCGTTGGATACGAATTTGTGACGAAAGTGAGAAGAGCGAGCAGTACCTGAACCAGGGTGATTTGTGTATTTTCTTCTTGAATAAAATGAATGAGAAAAAAGGGTCAAGGGAAAAAATCGAATGTCGCCCGGGAGTGTATCGCATGTCAGCAGTTCTGGGAAATATACGCATGAGGGATTGGAAAGTGAAGATTGAGTGGCGAAAGTATGGGCTCTAGGAAAGTTTATTTCATGCTTCTTGTTCTCTAGAGAAAACTGTCTGACCTGTTTTTCCTAAAGTTCCGAATAGTAATACAGAGCACTTTCTGCTCGTTTCGATAACATTTGAACATACTATTGTTTTGCTCCCTTACAAAATAAAATTTAATTTCTATGTTGAAAATAGGGATAAGTCTAGTTTGCGCCATATACTGTTTGATAAGGGTAATACTTCCCAGAGCGGGAGAAAAAGTAACTCACCAGCATTTCCTGACCTGACTTAATGGTGGTTGATTAGGTAGATTGCTGACATTTGGAGAGAAACGTGATGCTATACTGTCTATTCTAACTTTATCAGGGAACACATGATGGCAAAAACGCTTTTATACATGGTTTGCATGCAACTAACAAGCAAATGTGCAAGTCACCTTACACGAATACCAAATGTAGGAATACACGGGTAGGCAAGTATCGATGCTATCGAAGCAAGGCCTCTCACTGGACCGATTTTTTTTGCCTTCAGGATCAATTTAATTTGGTTTCTCAACAGCAGTTGCATGTGCTGACTTATAGCTAACTTAAGGAATTCACGCTGCTCGCATGGTAGTAGGAAGGATGAACGCTTACCGTAGTGTGCATACTTTCCCAGACCTCCAACCAATTTATTAAATTTTAATGGGTTAGACGTTCAAATACCTCCAAGACAATTTTTGAAAAGCTGGAAACCTCGGGGAGACAACTGTTCGGATGCTTCTGCTTTAGAGTAAACTCAAGTTTGTAGAAAAAGGATGTGAAGACCATAGAAGAGACGGCAAGACCCCCACACAGAACAGACCACTGTGGGTGGCATCAAAATGGAAAATTCTTCACTCTATTCAAACACGTTCCAGAAATATTACCGTTTCTTCCTCATTACCAACTTCTTAGTGTTCCTTGTTTGATGTACGTGTCAGGGTACGTGAGCAGTGTAAGATCAACTGGTCAGCAGCCATCTAAGCGAAAGGAAAAAAGAATAAGGCAAATTGGTGCTGACGACCTTTGCGATGATATCCGGCAGACATAATGGTAGCTGTAACAGGGACTCCCCATATCATTATTTCTCCTGCTACTTGTTACTAAATTTCTAGGCTCAAAGGAGTTTCACGGATATCAAATTTTCCAAAAGAAACTCAATGAATGAAATTCGGAATAAAATCATTTCGGAAAGAAATTTATGGTGATTTTCTGTTAAGAACAGTTCACTTCTTTCTTTTCTTAGATTTAGATGAACATCCATTCGTTATCCTCTGAGTACAAGTGGATTGTCGTTTCTTCCGCCCGACTTGTTAAAGGACCATGTCTGGTAGGGCGCACGGGGGTCCCGGCGCGAACAACGTATCGGCTCCGTCGGCTATACTCGACGCGTACTTTGACCTAAAACCATCCGGCAATGTGTCTGCATGTCGTCGTCGTATCCGGCGGCCCCTGCCCGTCGTCCTGCCGTCGTACCCGCTCGAGGATGGAGACATGATGCCTCCATCCTCGAGCGGGTCTGATTGAATGCGTAGTGATCGACTTCGGCAATGGGAATTCGAAGGCGCCCAATGATCCGAAGTCACGTCACCCCCCCCCCCCCCCCCCCCCC